ATAACAATGGGCGATTCTAAGAATGTTGCAGTTCTTAAATACATTTACCCCCCCCCCCCTGACCTTCAATGAATTTGTTTTTGTTCCGGTCCCGTTCTTGTATTGTTTAAACTGAGGTCAAAGTTTAACAAGTAGAACTACATCGTTAAAAAGGGTGGGGGGGGTGGGGGTGATGAAACCATGAACTTACCGGACCGGGTGATACCAACCCTAACTACGCCACTGATTCTATTTGCTGCCATTGCTAGTTGTTGCTGCTTTAAACAAAAATTGAAACAATTTAAAAAGTTTTTAATAGATTTTGATTAGCAGTAGTCAAAGGTGAATCTCATTGGCGCATAGTGTGTATTGGTCATTTTTGTCCTCTTTTTATAAAAAAGTTAATCAAAGAAATAAAACTATGATAACTAAATTAAATGATTTAATTGTTTTAAATTTTATTTGAATGTAATTTATACGGTTGGGGGAAGGATGTTTAAAACGGAGTGGGCCTGCAACTCTGCAAAAAAGGGTTAAGAATCCCTGTCCCAGAGCATCTACTAAGATACCCCCCACCCCGCGGTCAACCTTTTTTTTCCCGCTTCATCCCGCGCCCACTTCCCTCGTGTCCAGATTTAGCCATAAAGTTCAATACTCGAAGGTCGAGAGTCCATCTCTTAGGACCTCTGGCCGTGAAACATAGCCTAGTAGTTCCTGGGGACTCCGGCCATGCAACTCGGCCTAGAGTACGGGGTTTGGGCAGGTTTCTTCCACTCATGGGGGGAGCAGTTTTGCGTCACAGTCCCCCTTGCCCATTGAGTCTTACGGTCGTCGGGACGTGGGGTTGGAACAGTTTTGCTTCCTCTCCGGAGATGGCACTGCGTTGCCACCTCCACCGCCCAGGGAGTCGTGCCTTCCTTGGTGTGGGACGGCTTTACTTCCACTCTGGGAGTAGTCATGAGCTTAACTTTCTCCCACCGCTCCTGCGAGCATTTGGTTCCCAACGAATTGTTCCCCTCCGGGGAGGCGTTGCGTTGCCTCAAACCCGCATTTTACCGGGAGCGTTCCGGACAGGACTGTGAAGGGTCAAAACGGCTTTTACTTCCTCTCCGGGGGAGACGTGCGTTACCTCAACCCACCGTTCTGGGAGTGGTTCGGGCTGGACGTAACGGGGCGGCTTTCTCAGGGCCGCGTCTTTTTAATCATTGACAAGGGTTTAGGCGGCCACCCACTGCCTCATACCCATCACCGGCAACACGTAATCATGTTAGCGCTTAAACTTCCTTTGCGTTGGAAATCATGCGTTTTGCCTGGGATCTTTTAGCTTCAGAAAAAGAAACTCCCCCCTACTAGTCATTATAAATGAAAGGACTGCTTTCAAGCTTAGTAAAAGAATGAAATAGCGAAACGTTTCGCTATTTCATTCCCCTACTAGTCAGGCACGCCACGGAGAGGCAAGATCCCGTGTAACACCACCGAGAGCTTGTGGTGCTGGGCAAGATCCCGTGTAACACCACCGAGAGCTTGTGGTGCTGGGCAAGATCCCGTGTAACACCACCGAGAGCTTGTGGTGCTGGGCAAGGATTTTCCAAAGGTCCACCCTTAAACCCGCCTGAGATTTAGCCATAATTTGCCACGACTGTTATTGCAACTGCCACACTCCGATTCTCCTACTCCTGGGCGGCGTGTAACTTGATCAGGGGCAATTCCTCGCATACCCACCGTACTGATTCTCTCAGTGATAGTCGTTTTAAAATAAAATAATTATAATTGTTTTTTTTCTTTGTTTAAATAATGTTTAAAATGTCTGTCATTCAGTGTTATGAAGTGAAATTCTTTAATACAATATTCTGCTTTTCGTGTGACATCACATGGCTTAAAGGCCTCCCACCCCCTCTCGTCACACATCGTCACAAAAATCTCCCCCCCCCCAGACGCGTGACGTCATTTATGGATTACCCTAAACTCTAAACATATGTTTATTTGTAAAAAGAGAATGTAACATCTCTTTTTTTCACAAATGTAATACCATAGGATTTAAATATGTTGTCATCCACGTAAAAATGTACACATCCTATTGCCTACCTTCAATATGTATGTACCCAAGAAGGTTAATTATTTATCAAATTCATTCCTTTATTTTAAGACGTACCTTTTGCTCCCTGGCCCAAAATGCCCCCCCCCCCCCACCCCACCCCTCGATTGAAATAAAATTTATAAAATCTTCCACCGGATTGTAGTCCTTTCCCTACTCAAACTAACATATTTTGCACTTCAAATATTTTGTTCTTATTTGGATGAGTTATACGTGGATTATTGAATGCTATTTGGCTATGTAGTTTCGCTGCACTGATTGACTTAAGTGGCATTTTCTTATTAGAAGTATATTTAAAGGTTAAGTTTATTACGTTATAAATGTAATAAAAGTATATTTTTGGAATTTAAAAAGTAAAAACTTATTAATTAAATGTTAAAAATCCAAAGCTAAAATTTATGTGTGTTTTATTAACAATTTAAAAAGCAATTAATTATATTGAGTAATTATATTTTTAAGAAGGAAAAAATGCATTATCTGATTTATAACGCGTGGTTGTTAAATCAAAGAAACTTAAGAGCTATTTGCGCTATGTTTTGATTTGCATGTTTACCGTATTTATTGGCGTACGCACCTCATTTTAAGAAGGAAATTTCAGGGGGAAAAAACGTAACATTATATTATATCGGGGTATAACACGCATACATCATTTGCCCCCTATTTTCAGGAAGAAAAGGCGCGTGTTATACGCCGATAAATCCGCTATTTAGAACAAATTAATGTTAATTTTATTTCCCAATATAAACAAGTCCTAAAAAAAAAAGAACTAAAATCAACAAGCGGATGTTTGGGTTTCTCCATGAATGTGATTACGGTGTAAGTGTAATGCTTTGATCATAATTTTTTTATTTAACTTTTTTTTCATGACTTCAAACCCATATACACAATGCTTAAGATAGTTCCTTAGTTGTTACTTTAAATTAATTAATTTTTTGCGCATTACAAGTATTCAATGTCCGTAAAACAACATAGAAAATAACTTTGATCGAACGTATTTTTCAGTTCTGTGGAGTTACGGCCAGCCTAGCTCATTCTTATATACATTGACAGATCATTTGAGTTTGTTGTTATTTTTTAATTTTGAGTCTCAGCAAATAATCCTTAAACCAAATAAACATCTACCCAATTTTACCTCCATTTTGTATTTTATTTATCTATTACATTGTTGTCAAGAAAATTAGTGTCTAGCACAGGGGTGTGCAAACTTTTTGTGTGGTGGGTCACACTGACAAGATTATGTAAAACTAGGGGGGGGGGGTGGGCATGTATATTATGTCCAATTTTTCAACTGTCTATAAATATTTCTCTCGATTAAAATCCATAAATTCACATTTTAGCATTGCATGACAAAAGCCAAGGACTGTTAAAAAAAAAAAAGAAAATCAGAAAGAAATTTGATCAAAAATGTTTTTAAAAATCATAACGGTAGATAAAATTCTGTTAAATTCAACCAAATAACTTAAAAACAAAGCAATTTTTAAAAATTTCTAAATGTCTTCGAGGACCGCAAAATATCAGGTGCCGGGCCGTAGTTTGCCCACACCTGGTCTAGTACATTGTTGTGTTAAGTACATTAAAGTGTCTAGTACATTGTAGTGCCTACTACATTGTAGTGTCTAGTACATTGTAGTGCCTACTACATTGTAGTGTCTAGTACACTGTAATGCCTACTACATTGTAGTGTCTAGTACATTGTAGTGTCTAGTACATTGTAGTTTCTACTACATTGTAGTGCCTACTACATTGTAGTGCCTACTACATTGTAGTGCCTACTACATTGTAGTGTCTAGTACATTGTAGTGTCTAGTACATTGTAGTGTCTAGTACATTGTAGGTACATTGTAGTGTCTAGTACATTGTAGTGTCTAGTACATTGTAGTGTCTAGTACATTGTAGTGTCTAGTACATTGTAGTGTCTAGTACATTGTATCATCTCCTAATAAAAAAATCCACTCTCGATAAACTTGCAATCCCAATAATGAACAAATCTGAAAGCTAACCAATAAATAAACTAGTTTATTATGAGTAGAAAAGTTTACAGAACAGAGTGTCTTGGGTATTCTGTAAGACGTCCACAAGTGGAAATCTTGTACTCACACATCCTGTCGTTTTCAGCTTGTTCCTGGTGATATTGACATGTGCAAATTTAAATATAATGTGTACATATAAATATGACATGTGTACATTTAAATATGACATGTTTACATTAAAATGACATGTGCAAATTTAAATATGACATGTGTACGTTTCAATATATGTGTACATTTCAATATGACATGTGTACATTTCAATATGACATGTGTACATTTCAATAGGATATGTCTGTTTAGATCTCAATATTTTTATCTGTTAATTTAGAGACTTTTTAATACATGGATTTTCCTAAACAATATTTTGGTCTCAGAGAGTAAAGGATGAGGAGAGACATAGAGAGACAGGGAGAAACAGGGAGAGACATGGAGATACATGGATAGACTATTTTAGAAAGATGGGGAGATAAATACATATAGATTACATATAATTTAAAAATCCAGTGCCTATGGAGTACATACTCATTGCTGAGTACTAGTTGGGTATAGTACGTAGAACATAATCTTTGCTACTGAGTACTGGTCTAGGATACAGTGCTTACAAAATATTGAAACTGTTGTTTTCTGACCACTAAGGGACAGCTTTCAAAAAACCCACTTCTTGATTTGAATTGTATTGTTTGAAGCTGTCATGTAAATTGTTCTTTCAGTAGCCTGCCACTCACCTAACCTTCTTTAGGTAGCCTGCCACTCACCTAGCCTTCTTTAGGTAGCCTGCCACTCACCTAACCTTCTTTAGGTAGCCTGCCACTCACCTAACCTTCTTTAGGTAGCCTGCCACTCACCTAGCCTTCTTTAGGTAGCCTGCCACTCACCTAAACATTTAAACTATCAACCTACCTGGCAACTATGTCAGCAATGGTTTGCTGTAGACTGCATTGAAGTTTTTGCCCCTGATTAAAAAAAAGTGCATGTTTAAATTTGCTTAAATATTTTGTTAAAAATATTTGGACACAATCTGTTATTTTAACAAAAAAAACTTTTAACATATTTTCATTTAAAAACATACAGTAATGTGTAGCTCTGAATGAGGTCTGTTAGAGTATGTGTTATGTTAGAGCAGAGTATGTGTTATGTTAGAGCAGAGTATGTGTTATGTTAGAGCAGAGTATGTGTTATGTTAGAACAGAGTATGTGTTATGCTGAGTTCGTTTTAAAAGGTATAATGAGATCTGTTCAGAGTAGAATGAGTAAAGTTTGGGTATATTTGTATTTCCTCTAACTAAAAGCTGCTAAAACTATCAGGGTAAAGTTTTCTCATGTGGCAGTTAATATACCTCCATGGCTCCCAAAACGTCCAGTCTGACGGCAGAAGTTATCAAGCCCCGAACAACACAGAACATGAAAGATCCTATAGCAGCGTCGGAATCGACACCAATGGCAGACATGACTGCTCCATAGACGACAGGGTAATGGCCATGTGGCAGTTCGGAAAGGGCAGACATCAAATCAAAATAAAGATCTTTGTAGATCAACTTTAAGACTTCAATGAAAGATTTACCCTGAAATATGCGAGCGGACGTTTTAATTGGTGCTTGAGAGCGTAAGAAGGACAGAGAGAGGTGCTGTGAAAAATCAAGCAAATGAACTTGGAAGTTACAGAAAAAACAAGTGCATATTTGTGATTTGAGATCATGAAAACTTGTGCAGCACCTACCCAAGTGATAAACTGCTCAAAACACTTATTGTGATGATTTCACAATATATAAAAATAACATTATTCTTTTTAGCCTTCATTGCTTGGAGCAATATTGTAGTATTGTTTAATAACAAACATTTTGGTAAAATTGTCCCAATTTAACAAGAGCTTCATGGGACACAACCCACTGCACACTTTGCACCATTTCAGACAAGGGTAAACAGCCCAAAAAGACCATCCAGGTTTATTTTTTATGAAGAAAAAGACAAAGAAGTGAATCAATAACTAACTGATTCTAAGTCTAGACCTGTCTTGCGCTGGCTCGTCTGGAAATATGATTGGTGGAACAGGCTTCAAAGGTTTTATCAAGATCCACAAGTTGCCGTAGGGACGACTGCAGCCTGTCGGTTGAACATTGGTCGTTTGTTAACTCTGTACATTTGTTGGCCGCTAACTCAGAACATCCATTGCCCGACAATTGATTCAGTTCATTAGCCGGTGAATGAATCTCTCCATTTTTACTTTGAACTGAACATGTTGCGGGCGGTTCGCCTGCCTCTGCTGCCTGAGTAGTTAAGTCCTGGAAGATGGCGTGTGCTGCACTCACAAAGGGAAGATGGAGAGAGCCTGTGGGAAGAATAATTTAATTGACTTGATTGGCTTGAAGGCTTAAAAATGTTTGACACTTGCGGTTTATGTGAAAATAGAATGTGGATATGTTGTAAGGATGATTTGTGTGGATAATTTGTAATGATGAACTGTGTTGATATGTTGTATAGTTGAAATCCGTGGATGTTTTGTAATATTGGTGTGTGGATATGTTTTGTGGGTATTTTGTATTGATGTGTGGATGTTTTGTAAATGTGTCCGGTGTCATTTCAATATATTATGTCCTTTATTTATTTACTTCCATTCTGTAGATAGAACTGAACGATTTCATTATTTATCCCCAGAATTCAAAATGATGGAAAAGTAAATCTTAAAATTGTTTTTAAAGTCTTTAACCCAAATGGCCCAATACATCTGACTTTATTTTTCATGTACGCAAATGGCCCGGTATATCTGACATCATTCTGTTTATGCCATGGCCCAGTATATCTGACATCATTCTGTTTATGCCACATGTAAAAGGATGCTTGGTTATTTGAGGCTTGATATGAACCCAAGTTCATCACCATCTGTGGCTGGTATGCCAATGAGCATAACATTTCCTGTATTGACCATCCAGACTGCACCAAAGGCATTGCTATGGTTACTGCTGCCAAGGTCTGACCAAGACTTTTGCCACGTCCCCCATGCCCCACCCCCAATATGAAAAAACTCAGCGGTTGGTCAAAAAATGCCCCTCATTATATATGAAACAAAGTGTTGCTCAAGGCAGACAACACCTCCTTCCAAGGTCAGTGTTTTGTGCTATTTTTTTCAAAAACTTTTCTTACAGGGCTTGCTGTACTAATTTAATAAATAAAAATTATATGAGAAATAACCCTAAAAATTGTTTACATTTTTTATTTAATTGAAATTTAAATGAGAAATTTTGCATAGTTTCCTCTAATAGAGCAGACGGCAGTTTCCAATCTAAGGAAAGTGAAGAGAATAACAAAGGTCAGGTAACTTACCAGAATTTTCCAGAATACAAATAAATGCATTAAATAATTTTTTATGGTCTGGAAAATAGAAAGAAAATAACATTCAATGTTTAACTTACAGTCAAGGTTTAACTTACATTCAATGTTTAACTTACATTCAAGGTATAAGTCAGATAACAATATCTAGACTGTTACTAAGATGTTTTCCTAGAATGCACAATGAGTCATGTTTATTGGAAAGACAATTATGTGAATTAAAATTAAGTTGGTGATAAAGTTAGTGCAAAGTTTTACACACACTCTTCTCAATGAAACATTTTAAGTTTAAATTTTATACCCAATAAAAAAATATGTCAAGGTCAAGCAAGTTTTGTTTCATCTTGTAGTGGTATGAAATTCTTAATTTATTTTACTTTAAAAACTGTGGGGAAAAAACACCAAGAAAAGAAACAATTAAACTTAAACATAAATAATAATAATTCAAGCAACTGAGGGGATATATAAGAATTTACCTTTTCTCATGCCAACATGATGATAATGCTGTATGAAAGCTTCTATGCCCTGACTGTGTGAGAACCCTCCGGTGGGGAAAGCTGCAAATGTATAAATGGAAACTTTACAAATTACTTTGGCCTTTTTATGCATCGCAAAGAAAGTAAACGTGTTATATCTCAATGGAAATGTAACACATTTTTTAAAAATATACATTCTGCAACATTATTTTATCAGGTGATTAGTTGAATATGAACCTTGTGAAACTTGATTAGCCTGGTCCAAACCTTTGTTCAATAATCAATCTCATTTGGCATGTTTGGCTTGCTTATCTTTACAAATCAAAAAGATGACTGGCATTGATAGATTTTGTATAGATAATACATATAAAATTTAAGTTTTTATGAATTTGGCATTATATCATGTGGTTGAAAGATATGGTATTTTATCATGCAGCTGAAAGATATGGTAGGCCTATATTATCATGTGGTTGATATATATGGTATATTATCATGTGGTTGAAAGATATGGTATTTTATCATGTAGTTGAAAGATATGGTATTGGTAACTTAACATCATCTATAACAATGGTTTACAAGGTGGGTGGAATGGCCCAGTGGGCGGTAAAATGCTGAGTAGATTTAGGGGCAGCTTGGACAACCTAAGGTGGTGAATTATATCAGAAAGTTTTATACAGTGGTACCTCGGTATATGTCCTTAATCCGTTCCAGATCCTTGGACTTATACCAAACAGAACATATACCAAATGAATTTTTACCATAAGAAATAAAGGGGAAATGATTCATCCATTCCCATGAAAAAAAATTCATATTGTTATTGGCATATTATACATTCATTGACGTGGTTGTATAAAATAATTTAAACACTGCTTAATACTATATTACATAAATAAAAAGAACTTATGTGAAATAAATGAAAATTTACTTCACTTTACTTTGGTGAGAAGAGTCAAGTGCTTACTAATATGGTGCTGAGAAGGAGGAGATGTTATTGTTTTGAAGGAGAGTCCGCTTCCAATAAAACTTCAGGAATATGACATTCTGTTGTTCTTTCTTTTTTCTGCCTCTTTTCCCTATTTTTGAACCTGGTTGAGGCTCACCAGGTTTACTTTTACTAAAAATCTGTCTAAAGAGCTTTGCTTTTGACTTCTCCTCAGGATGTTTGGAAAATGTGACATTGTCTGTCTGGTTATTCCAGACAATGCTATTACGACTTGTTTGGGCTTTGTTGGGGTGGTACTTCTCTGCAAAGTTTTTGACATCCATCCATTTAGCAAAGATTTCCTTGATTAATGAAGTAGGAGCTTCCTCTATCTCCTCCACCCCAGAGCCTGAAGAGAGTGCATCCATCCTAGTCTTGTGCTCATCCTTCTTAAGTTCCTGCGGCTCCTCAGTGGTCAGCTATTCCCATGGACCTGCCCACTGTATGCACAGCCTCAAAGTCCCTTTCAGTCACTGCTTCTGGCCACAAATTCCTCCAAGGTCATTTTCCAAATGAAGGTCTTATACAAAGCTAAATGTTTCTTGTCCAAACAGGACATAAAGGCCTACCAAGTTGGACTTATTCAAAGCGGACATATACCATATACCGAAGTACCACTGTATTTTTAATCAAAATTTGTTATTTTGGCTGTTCAGGATATTGAGCTAAAACCACTGATCTATACCATACACCTCTTTGGTGATAAGAAGATTAGATGCAATACAATTAATTAATAATAAATTGTAATAATAATAAACATTACTTAACTCAAAGAAACTTACAAAACTACTACTTACCACTGTCAGTAAATTGTAAGAGTGGGAAAAGCTGGGAGAATTCCATTATAGTCTGCAGATAACAAAGTTGTTTTTTAAAAAAAATTTTAATAGGGAATGAATTTTTAGGTTAAAAAAGACATAGAAACATATCTTTAAGAAATACGGGTGATCTCTTTTATACACTAATATAGCACCATTGTCACACCATTGTTGAGGTGGGATCATGATTAAAAGTTTTTTAAATAAAATCTCTCTATTTACCAGATGGAACTACACTTAAAACACCCTCAATAGATATTCTTATATAAAGTGATCATGAGACTGGTGCCGGCCATCCCAGCAGGCACGTACCTCACCCCACAGAAGCCGGGTAGACTGATCAGAGCAAAACGCTCACTGAACACTGACTTCACCATTGACATTCCCAAAAACAATTAACCAGAAAAAATAGCAAATTCTTCAAAGTGCCTCAGTGCAACACAGTGCAGTATCAACAATCTTTCTTCCCACGCACAATATAGCATGGAACCACCTGAATGATGCCACTGTGAACTCGACATCGGCCGAAAGCTTCAAGGCTGCCCTGGCATCAGCTAGGAGCTGTTAGAATAGCAACATCATATCCCCAACCATTGCAAAGATGCCAGTACATGGATGCAGCAACGTAACATTACCAGAACCAGAACAAATTTATTGTTTTGCAATTAGTTTGTCTTATGTTTTCATTGGTTTTTAAAGGGTTTTTTTAAATTTCTGAGTTCCTCTAGTATACCAAAACCCCAAAAACCATACAATATAATGGCACAGTGAATAACAAATGGTGTCCTTTTTTTATCTTGTACAATTTATTCAATAGCTTTTATTTTAGGACAAAAAGACAACATTTGACTTATAAAAATAAAACCCTTTTAAATAGTGGAATAAATTGATTATTTATTTTAAAAAGTTAACTATGAAAATGAAAACAAAAATGCTTTTCCATTCGCATTGAACTTAGAGTTAGAGCGTTAAAATAAGAGATTATCATATGTGTTTACATAATAATTACACAATCTCTAATAATTAAGATAATAATTGAATTTTTATTTTTACAAACTCTTCTTCCATCTCCAACTTATTCAACGAAAACTTGGCACCGCCCCCCCCCCTCCCCGCTCTTCCCCGGTTACGTTGCCATGCCATACACACTAACTAGGTCAGAGTTTATTTTTAATTTTCTTCATTTGTGCAAACAAATAAAATAAAACAATGTGTATTTGGTATTGAAACTTACTTATAGTTATAGCATCACTTTCAAGCATTTGCCTCACGAATTACTTTAGACGAAAGCTGAATTATGTGAACAGCGTTCCTACCTGCTTAGATGGAAATGCCACAAGAAACCAGCTGTTGTTATTGGTCCTGTAGAAGGGGAGATCACCATAATTTTTTCTTTCTTGAACTCTAAAAGTTATCCCTTCCCAGATGTAAAGATGAGGGGACGATATTTTTTCTTTTTTTTTCCCATTACATGTTAACAGAGGCGTAGCGATGGGGTGGCCGGGGGGGGGCAGATGTCCCCGGGTGCAAGCTAGTTAGGGGCGCCAAAATGTGATTTGATATTATATTATTGGTAAAAATAATGGGTTTGAGAGTTGAAAAAAAGAAAAGGGGGCGCTTTAAAATGGATCTTGTCCCCGGGCGCGAATCTTGTCCCCGGTCGCCAAACACCCTCGCTACGCAACTGCATGTTAAATATTTCCTAAGGTGAACATTGCTATGAATAATAACATACATATAAAAACGTAGACTGAATTTGCTAGTCCTCACTCATGAAGGCCACTAAACAATACAGAACACATACAAAAAAGTCGTCCATTCATATAGACTATTCATAGACAATTCATGTAGGCCGTTCATGTGACAATTCATAGAGACACTTCACACAGACAATTCATGTAGACAATTCATGTAGACCATTCATAAAGACCATTGATATATATAGACCATTCAAAGTGTGTAGCATTTTCCTGGGAAATAAAATTTTGTCTGGTGAACTGGTGTATTGTATCCTATTATCCTGGTGTATGTATCCCACTATCGGAAAGAAAACAAAAAATATTTTCTATGAGAGTGGACCCAAAATACCACCCCCAAAAATATCACGCCCTGGGCAGTCCGCCGCCACTGCCCACCTCTTCCCATGCCAGTGTTTGAACTTCTCTTAGAAGCATAATGTTCCTTATTCTAACCTAATTTTGAAATCTACATTAAGGTTGAAATGAGTAGGGGAGGAGTATTGCATCACCGTTTGCCTCATCGAACGGTTTCTGATCACGCAGTCAATGGCGCTGTCACGACGATGAAATACGTCATCGTAGGGAGTGCAGAACGTGCCATAGAGAATGGTGAGATCCATGCACAGGAGGGCCCCTGGGGCTCATTGTGTCCCTGTATTTTGGCTTTTTTTTTTTTTTAGAGGAAGCATTGTTGGTGATTCTGGGGCTTAAATGCATTTTAGGCTTTNAAAGGAACAAGTTGGTAGGGTGGTTGGGGGAGTGGGGAAGAGGGAGGGTGAGGGAGTTGGAGGGAGGGAGGTTGAGGGAGTTGGAGGGAGGGAGGTTGAGGGAATGGGTGGAGCGAGGGTGAGGGAGAAGGATGGAGTGAGGTTGAGGGATTTGGATGGAAGGAGGTTGGGGGAGTTGGATGGAGGGAGGTTGAGGGAGTTGGATGGAGCGAGGTTGAGGGAGAAGGATGGAGTGAGGTTGAGGATGTTGGATGGAAGGAGGTTGGGAGAGTTGGATGGAGGGAGGTTGAGGGAGTTGGATGGAGGGAGGTTGAGGGAGTTGGATGGAGGGAGGTTGAGGGAGTGCTAAGTGTTTAAAGAATTATGTTAATTATAATTTATTACCGTCACTTGCGCATCTTATTAACTAGGCAGTAGAAATTCATGTACCAGTAACATAACAGGCAAGTACCAGTAACATAACAGGCAAGTACCAGTAACATAACAGGCAAGTACCAGTAACATAACAGGCACGTACCAGTAACATAACAGGCAAGTACCGGTAACATAACAGGCAAGTACCGGTAACATAACAGGCAAGTACCAGTAACATAACTGGCACGTACCAGTAACATAACAGGCAAGTACCAGTAACATAACAGGCAAGTACCAGTAACATAACAGGCAAGTACCAGTAACATAACAGGCACGTTCCAGTAACATAACAGGCAAGTACCAGTAACATAACAGGCACGTACCGGTAACATAACAGGCAAGTACCGGTAACATAACAGGCACGTACCGGTAACATAACAGGCACGTACCGGTAACATAACAGGCACGTACCGGTAACATAACAGGCAAGTACCAGTAACATAACAGTCACGTACCAGTAACATAACAGGCATGTACCAGTAACATAACAGGCAAGTACCAGTAACTTAACAGGCAAGTACCAGTAACTTAACAGGCAAGTACCAGTAACATAACAGGCAAGTACTAGTAACATAACAGGCATGTACCAGTAACATAACTGGCAAGTACCAGTAACATAACAGGCACAACCAGTAACATAACAGGCACAACCAGTAACATAACAGGCACAACCAGTAACATAACAGGCACGTACCAGTAACATAACAGGCACGTACCAGTAACATAACAGGCACGTACCAGTAACATAATAGACATGTCGAGTGGAGCAACATAGGTGGTAGAAGAGTGGCGGGCTACATATCTATAAAAGAGTGGGGAAACATAGTAGTAAAAAAGTGAGGCAACATTTCTGGTAACCCAACCTGGCCGACCAAATCTCCCCGACCGAATCTGGCTGACCCAATCTGCCCCACCGCCCTTTTTCCGTGCAAATCTGGCCTACGCCAATGTGGCCGACCCAACCTGGCCGGTGTGTGAAATAAGATGCCTAGCAGCTGGGGGGCATATCTGTGACGTCAATATGTTACTGATAACTTGATATGATCATAAATTAGGCCATCGGGCATCTGAATAGACAGAAACGTGTTTTGTCGTGAAGCTTAAGGTCTAGAGTGTGACTTGGCTTATACTGACCAGCTCTTGATAGAGTGGGACTTGGCTTATACTGACCAGCTCTTGATAGAGTGAGACTTGGCTTATACTGACCAGCTCTTGATAGAGTGGAGCTTGGCTTATACAGACCAGCTCTTGATAGAGTGGAGCTTGGCTTATACTGACCAGCTCTTGATAGAGTGGGACTTAGCCTATACTGACCAGCTCTTGATAGAGTGGGGCTTGGCTTATACTGACCAGCTCACTAAACAAATATATATGAGCCAGGTTTATTAAACCGGCAGACAGGGGTGGAGCTGTTGTAGTTTGGGATAAGAAGCTATACATTGAAGAGGCCTCCAAACAATTACAAGATACAAAATTTTACACGCCGAGGTCCAACGACCCCATTGTCCAGAATAATAACATGGTCAAGGATACTATCGATTACATTATTCAAGTTGGCCAATTACCGGGCGTCTGCCTCAAACTTAAGAATTTATGACAGTGATCTTGGTAGATCATGTTTGTGATTATTACCAAAAGTTCACAAGGCAGGAAGTCCTGGAAGACCTACTGTCTCAGCTTGTTTTTGTCCTACTGAACTGATTTCGGAATTTTTGGATACAATGTTTCAGCCCATTGTTGAAAGTTTGCCATCATATATTAAAAACACTAATCACATGATCAAATCTCTCAAGTCTTTGGTTTTAGCTAATGAAACTGAAACCCATTCACCTTTTACAATTGACGTTTCTTCACTGTACACCTCAAATCCCCAAACAGAAGCATTCACTGCTATTTCATTTTTTCTGAATAAGAATCCTAATATCAAGTTTCAAACAAATGCCCTTGTACGTCTGACAGAACTGGTTTTACATCTTAACTCGTTTGAATTCAATGGTGATTTTTTTTATCAGATCAGTGGCGTTGCTATGGGAACAAGAATGGCACCAAGCTATGCACGTCTATTTATGGGCCATTTAGAACATCTTTGGAGAGAACACTACAAAGGCCCTTTCCCAGAAAATTAAAGGAGATACATAGATGACTGCATATGGAATACAAATATGGACATAACACAACTGGAAAGTTTAACTTTATTGGACATTTTCATCCAACAAATCAAATTCATTTCAACGATCCATAAAAGTACTATCAATTTTTTGGACTTAAAAAATAATCTTAAAGAGGACATCATATATACGTCCATTTTTTATAAGAAAACAGACAGCCATAGTTTCTTACTGTATTCATCATCCCATCCTCAGTCATGCAAAAACTCCTTCCCTTTTTCTCAATTGATGGGACTGAGAAGACTCTGTAGCAATGATGAGGATTTTTGGGAAAGGACGGCTGAAATGTTGGATTTTTTCCGACGCAGGTTATGTCCTGAACAAATTTTAAAAGCAGCTTTCACTCGAGTTAAAGGTATGACTAGGCAGGATTCTTTTAAAGCGACTCATTCTGACGCTAGGGACAGATCTAAATTTATTTTAACTTTGCATCCCCATAACCTTAAAGCTCGTTTTCTGGTTCTGAAAAACCGCTCAATTCTTATGCCAGACCCGGTCACCAATGAGATTTTCAGAAAACCTCCTCTTTTCGCTTTCCGGAGGGACAAGAGCCTTGGGGACATGCTAGTTAGAAGCCACCTCCCCGCTATCAAAGCACATAAAGGCACACAAAGTTGCAACCGAAACCGTTGCAACACATGTCCCTATGTGATTGAGGTTGACACGATCAATTTCCCTCTGGAAATATTCAAAATAAAAGATGGGTTTACCTGCACAAGTCGCAACTTGATTTACACCATCATTTGCAAAAAGTGCGGTAAAGTATATGTAGGAGAGACAGGTCGTCGCCTTGGAGACCGGTTCAGAAAACACCTACATAACATAAATAAACAAGCTCTCTGTCCGGTCTCCAAACATTTCAAAAGCCTTAACCATGATGGTATCTCAGACATCGCAGTTACTGGTATACATTATACCAGTAACTGCGGTTACTATAATGTATACTACTAGCACAACAGATAGGATATACATGAAGAATAAATTATTAACACGATTTGGTACGTTTTCTCCATATGGAATAAACCAAATCCACAATTTTACCTAGCTGCCATGTCTTTTTCCTGTTTGATTTTTACAGTTTTGCTCAAATCCCGTCCTTTACACTTTTCTTTACTTTGCTTCTGTATATTTTCTCTCCCCTTTTTTAGGTAGGATATCTGTGTATATATATATTATGTAAATTTAATTTATAGGCCCTACGTATTTGTCTTTTTGTTGTACTGATGAAGGCATGTGCCGAAACGTATACTTTTTGTATTCTTTAAAATTATCATTAAAGCTTACCTTATATTGTTATATTGACACTAATTGTTGGTGTCTAATTAATCTATTTTAAAGCTTTATTGCAGTTCAACACTTTTTGCAATATATT